GGATAGTTAATAATACCACTATCTCTACATGACATAGAGATGATAGTCAGGAAATAAGATAACAACGAGGGGTTCTGTGAACTCTGCTCTGGTGTGATTGTGCCCCGAGGGGTCTGGAAAATGAGATTACTCTGACCTGTCAAAGGTGTATGTTATTTTATTTTTTAAATATGTTTTTATTGATTTTTTTTTTTTTTTTTTTTAGAGAGAGAGATAGAAACGTTGATGTGAGGGAGAAACACCGATCAGCTGGGCTGCCTCCTGCATGCCCTCTTACCAAGGAATCAAGCCTGCAACCCAGGCATGTGCCCTCACTGGGAATCAAACCAGGACCTCTCAGTCCATGGGACGATGTTCAATTCACTGAGCCACACCGGCCAGCCCCAAAGGTGTATATTATTTTAGATACAAAAAGACTGTATATATATTCACTTAAGGTAAAAATTGAAAGTGTGAGAGAGGAACAAAATTTCCTCTAACTTAAGGTTCTTCTGACTAGTCTAATAATCAAATAGACATGAGACAAATTAGCAACAACAAAAAGACCAAATTTTATACATATATATATATGTATGAGAACCGTGCATACATGAGAGAGTCAGAGACCCCCACAGTCAGGAGATGTTCGGAGACTGAAAGGAGTTTGAGGTATATAAGGCTTCCTGAGCTAGGGATGAGGTAATGCACCTGGGAGGCTTCAAAGGGTATTGCAGGATAAGAAGAAGAACAGAGATTTACTAAATAGAATTTTGCCTTGCCCTACAAATAGGTCAAAAGAAGTTATCTCTAGCTTATTATGGCAAGGCCCCTAATTCAAATTCTTCCAGGTAGTTGGGGAGGGGCAGAAGTTTCCCTTGAGCCTATGGCTAAAGTTGCCTTTAGTTCCAAACAATCTGCATACCACAGAGGCACATCTTGAGGTGACTCATTCTAGACCCCCATAGAAGCTACAGGCCTAGGATGTGACTACCCACCACGCCCCACTTTTAGTTAGAAATGTTCATGTTCAGACCATCCCTGTGTGGTCACTGTCAATCTCTGAGCTTGGAAGGCCTGCCATGCTGGCTTCCCCTGAGCTTGTCAGGCTTCGTGTGTGGCCCCTTTTCACCACGGGAGGAAATTAAAATAAGACACTAATGTGGTTATTACCCATTCTTTTACTTTCTTTAGTCTCAGGCCACCGATACCTAAGCTGTGCTGATTGTGAGACAATGACACAGTAACCACAGGCTGTGTCATCTCTTAATCACTGGGGGAAATCAACAGTTGATCTGCTAAAGCTACCTGTCATTATGCACTTCAATACATGTGCAGCTTTCTCTATTTCCTTCTGCAAAACCGATCGTTGGCCCTGCTCTCAAGACCTTCCCAAGCCTAAGCCCTGCCATGTGGCTGAGGACACTTAACACCCTTGTTCCCAGGAAGGAGAAGAAATCCCTGGACAATGGAGGGAATAGTTGGGGCTTTATGCACAGGCCTCCAGTGTACCTTATCTAGACCTTCTGAAACGGTTCAGTTGTCAGCTTGCTTACTTGATGATAAGGTAAGAAAGAAAATAATTTCTATTCCTGGGAAATGATGGTAATGTAAACTTCTTTTCAGGCTCTTCTATAATTGTCTCTATGTGCTACATGAAGCCTGAGACATGTTTTTATTATTTATAACTCCTTGTTCCCCCCACACACACACACGATTCATAAAATAGTGAAAAACAGTCCTAACAAATAAGGAAAAATTCAAGTACAGTACCTGCTTGTTTGACTCAGTATTTTGATTTGATTTTAAAATCAATCATTTGCTTTAACTAAATGACAGGCATTTTATTCCTCTGTACAAAGAACTCGGAAATTCCACCCTACCTCCCACATCCCGTTTGGTCACAAGAGATAATGGCTGCATTGACCGGCACTGTTTCCAGTTCCTGTCAAGGGTCGTTTCAGAAAGAGAGCTGAAGCAAAAGCCTCACACTATTATTTTTATTTTAAAAAAACATTTAAAAATAAATGACTAGTTATTGGCCTCATGGGTCTTCTTGTTTCTGCAAATGAAAACCTTGGGAGGAAGCAGTTTGATGCTGGTGAAGCCCCAGGTTGGCCAGACTAAGAAGGACCAAAGACAACAGCCTTAGCTGAGTATTAGCCCTCTGCAGGGACAAGCCAGACACTGGTTTTTCTGCTAGTGGCCCTCTGAGATCAACCACAAGAGACCAATGCTCACCTGAAACAAATTTGAGTATTGGTTTCCTTCTGAGATTAGTCAGAGAGCAGAATGCAACATCCTCCAACATGCATCGTAATAGCAACTACTGTTTAGACAGCTCCAGGCACCACACCAAGTATTTTATATACATGCCTCGACCTCCCTGAACTGTTCCCTCATCCATACACTGCAAATATAACCCTTCCTGTCACCGGCCTGAAAACCAGTGATGATAATGGAGGTGCACCCACAACAGGTGCTTCATAAATGTGTTCCCTCCTCTCATCTCCCTGCTTATCTTCGTCTACCTAGTATTTGCACTTATTGGGTTAATTAAACTGAATCAATATTGTCTTAATATATAAGGTACAAAGACTTCAAAACCCCACTAAGCACACTGATCTTTTTCTGTAATGAGGAAAATACTTATCTCGTCCCTGGGCCCGTGAACACGTGTGCTGACATGGCTGCGAGGTCCCAGCCCAGCGAAGAGCAGTGAGCAGAGCCAGGCCGGGTCACTGCTTTGTTTGGAGCTCCCCAGGGCCCCAGTAACTAGGTGCAATGTGCCATGTCTTAGCTGCTGGTGAACAGCAAGGCCATTTTCAGGGTTACAGTGGAAACTGCAATTTTCCAATAAGAATAAGATGAGCCACGTCAGAAAATAGGAAGTCCTTATCCAGTTTGCTGCTCAACAGCCATCGTGATGTCCCCCTGAGGCCAATGTCTGGGTACATGACTCTCAACAGAAATATCATAATAATAAAATCAAGAAGCAGATACTCCTCCTTATTTAGCCCAATTCACAAGACTCCAGAAGGTCATAGGTCACTGCCCACTCTACCGTTCTTTCACGTCCTCCTCAAATTTCATAGTGACAAAGTTCAAAACACTCTAAGCAAAGCAAAGCAAAATGAACAAAAAAACAAGGTAGTTCAATGAGGCAACCTATTTACTGACTCCTAAGTGATCTACTTGTTATACTGGGAATCATTAGCAGGTGCTCTTAAATTTCCAAGAGTTTGGAATGTCTGGATTTTGTTAGGTTGCCAAATAATTATCTTTGTTACCATCCAGTTTCAGGATCTTTAGTAATAAATTTTTCGGGTAATGAAGAATCCCTTACACACACACACACACACACACACACACACACACCCTGGTGGAACTTTTGCAGTATGAGGTTGGAATAGGCAGATGGGTCCCATTTTATGAGACTCTGCCACCAAACTGGTGATGTTGACCCACTGCTCTCTCATATTATGCTAGTAAATACTTGAAGTGGAAATCTTGGGATCATAGATCAAACATTACAAGGTTAAAAACATTACAAGGTAAAAACGTCATGTGCCTCAATTGGAAATTATTCTGCTTGGTTCATATTTTCCATTTGAAACCTTGTTTGAAGAGTCCCAGTTTCTCTGAGGTTTTTCTCAGGAGGCTAAAATGTTATGCAAATAATTCAGTAGAAACAGAATTTGTCCCAATAATATCACTGTTACTTTAAAAACCAGAGTAAAAATTATTAATAAAATAGTTCAATAAAAATGGAATGTCTCAAATCATCAGGATTGTTTCAGAAATTAGATCTTAAAGTATTTGACATAAGTATAAGAAGTCAGTTAATGCTTTTGGGTGTTTTCAAACACAGCATTGCTTTTCTTTTGTTCCCAAGCAAGTCATCCAACTTTTGATTAAGGTACTCGACCAACCTTTATTTAATTCATCATGTTGCAGGTCAGCAATTTGGGCTAGGGTCGGCTGGGAAGTTCTGGTCATAACCAGACTCATTCTTGAATCTCTGTGAGTTCCTAGGGTTAAGCAAGTGCTGGCTAGTCAAGGATGGTGTACTGGGCAAAACAATGATCACTCACCCCCACCCAAAGATGTCCATATCCTAATCCCTGTAAACTGTGAATATGTTACCTTAGATGGCAAAGGTAGACTAAGATTTCAGATGGAATTAAGGTTACTCAAGTCATCTTAAAATAAGATTAACCTGGATTATTTGGGTTGACCCAATATAATAACAAGGGTCCTTAAAATTGTAAAAGGGAGTCAAAAAAGGTCGGACAGTACCTTGATTTTAGCACCATGAGACCAGTGTTGGATTTCAAACCTACAGAACTGTAAGATAATAAATGGGTGTTTTAAGCCACTAAGTGTGTGATTATTTGTTGCAGCAGCCATATAAAAATAACACAAATCATCTCATCGGGGACAGTCTGTCTTATGTTCTCTCATCCCCTAGCAGGTTTATCTCGAGGTCTGTTCAGATGAAAGGCAGGCAGGATCCAAGAGACTGAGTAGGTAGAGTCCAAGGCTTATTGAAGTATCTAAGCCCAGAACTGACACATCGTCATTTCTGCCATATTCTGTTGACCACAGCAACTTACAAGGTCAATCTAGATTTCAGGAGTAGGGATATAAATCCCACTTCCTACTGAGAGGAGCTCAATTAAAAGGAGGAAATAATTGAATCTACATTTCAAACAGTCTACCACAAAGAATAAAAGCTTCACTATTGTAGATTATCTAGACATCTCAAGCAGAGTTGTCTGACAGAAATATAATGAGAGTTACATATGTAATTTAAAACTTCAAGTAGCCATATTAAAAAAGGTAAAAATAAGGGAAATAAATTGTAATAGCTTGTTTTATTTTATTTTATTTAGCAAAATATACCTAAATACTACCATTCACCATGTAATTAATATGAAAATATTAATGAGACATTTTGCATTTTTTTCATATTGTCTTCAAAATCCAGTGTGCATTTTACACTTCTTAGAACACCCTTATTTTTGCATGTGGAAATGCCTGCTCCTCATTCCTTTGGGAACAGGAACATATCCATGACATGCTACATTAAAAAAAAGGAGTTCTGCCAACCCTAGGATATTTCTCCTACACTAAAAAAAAGAAAGAAAAGAAAAGAAAGAATAGAGCATCCTAATTTGTATTAGTCTCATTTCGAGTACTCAATCATTCTATGTCTAGTGGCTACCATACTAGAGAGATCGTATCTAAAGGATTTGAGGTAAGCCCCGGGTAAAATTTTAAGCTGTTAGAAGTTTGTCCTTGGTGCTGTCTTCTCTCTTTTCTGCACCTTCTTGTTTCCCTCTCCAGGGCCCCAGTGATTTGCTGCCCACAGTCCTGCTCTGGGAAAACAAGAGAGAATAGGGCATGGAAATACACTGTGATTCAAACAGCCCTGGATTTGAAACCTAAAATGCCATTTACTAGACTTGATAACTTAATCTGAGCTTCAGATTTATCATCAATACCTATCTCACTATTCTCTATAGACTTTTTATAAAGGTCAAATGCAATGATAGACATAAAGGCATTTAGCACAACACTTGGCAGAGTAAAGGCATTGTAAAGGAGCTACTATTAGTGTTTGTGTGTGTGTGTGTGTGTGTGTGTGTGTGTGTGTGTGTGTGTGTGAATCGTGTTTGCTAGGGTAATGCCTAATATTAAAACAATGGACTGCTTTTAGAATTTCAGGCAGTAATCACAGGCTGGAGAGGGTACTCCTTCAGCAGACGAGAACTGACCAGGAGTACAAACAAATGAGGGGGGAGAGTATGTTAGAGAACAGGTGTCCTGTGAGATTCCTATACTTCTAGACTTCTTTCCTAACACTATAAAAGAAAAATTAGATTTTAAAGAAGCCACTATTCCAATTCAACATAAGATAATTTATAGTTACTTTTATTGTGAGGACATTTTTTGTCAGAGTATAGTGTAAATGACAAATTTGGTTTACTACTTTTTGTAAGCCAAGGGGCATTGCTGATTTTCCAAAATTAGGCAAACTACAATCTGACTAAATATGGCAATAAAAATCAAAACAAACCTTACAGTTTTTCCTGAGGTATGCAAATCTAAATGATACTCACATAGTTCATCCTGTCTTAGTGAATCTCCTCTTTCCAAAATGAACAAAAATACACAATTATTAGCTTCCCAACAAACAGATACCATATCTGCAAATTAATTTCATTTTGTGAGTCAGTCAGAGTGTTCTTTGATATTTCCAACACATACAGTCACCATTGTTAACATATTGTCTTTGGCCTTCGGCCCGTTAACTGGGCACCAAAGAATCTGACAGATGTACTAATGGGGCAAAATGATAAGTAGGTGAGGTGGGCTCATGGGCTAACTGGGCAGCTGGTCAGACACTGGAATATCTTTCTAGGTTACGTGGTGTATTATTTTCTTGGGGCTGCTTAAACAAAATACTAAAATGTGGTGGCTTAAAATAAGAGAAATGTGTTGTCTCAGAGTTCTGGAGGCTACGGCTATGCTCACTCTGAAATTTGCGGGGGACTCTTTCCTTGCTTCTTCCCAGCTGCTGGTGGGCTCCCGGCAATCCCTGGCCTTCCTTGGAGGGCAGCGCATAATCCCATCTGTCTGTCATCACACAGTGTTCTCTCTGTGTATCTGTGTTATCACGTGGACATCGTTTTTAAGGACACTGACCAGTGAATTAGCAGCCACTCTACTTGAGTAGAACCCCTCTTAACTGTTGACATTTGCAATGACTCTGTTTTCATATAAGGTCACATTCTGAGGCACTGGTAATTACAACTTCCAATGTACCATTTTGAGAGACACAAACCCCTAATACTTCGTTTAACTAGGATTTGGAAAAAAATGGTTGAGAGGCAATGTCATCTAGTGGTTAAAGGCATGGACTATTGAACCCTTCCTAGTCTACAAGAACACAGGTGAATTCAGACCCTAGCTTTGTTGCTTAGTGTGTTATCTTAAGACAGTTACTTAATTACAGATGCCTCAGTTTTGTCTATATGATGACAGTATAGTAGTACCTAACTCACAAGGCGATCTGAGGATTGAATTAACATGCAAAATGCCTAATCAAGTGCCTACCACATAGGACTGGTGGAAAGTGGTTACTAATTATCATTATTTTTTGTTGTTGTGTACTGGCTTAGATCCTCACAGCTATTCATATCCAATTTGAAGTTCTATTTTTCACAGAGGCAGCTATACCGCTGCTCTGTTTTGATTTTGCTCTTCGAGTATAGTTGTTTTTCTTTCAAAATTAAATGACTTTCCTATCACGTATGCTGATGGTATGTAATCAGAAAAACTTCCTGGAAAGGAAGTTGGCCATACATATCAAAAGCCTTAAAAATGTTTATAACATTTGAGCCAAGCATTTTATTTCTAAAAAGTTATTCTAAATAAGTAATTTGAGTGTAAAAATTAGGCTACAAGTTTTTTCTTTATAGTCCTGTTTATAATAATAAAACACTATTTCTGTAATGACTAATTTTTCCGAACGGTCTATTGATATAGTCAAATATTACCAATTACTTAAATTTGAATTTGAAATCATTTTGACAAGAAAATATATTCATTACATATTATTGAGTGAAATGAGAACAAAATGACAAATAGCAGCACTACTCAATAGACTTTCTGCAATGAAAAAAATGTTCTATATCCACACTGTCCGATATGATAGTCACCAGCCACACCTGGTGACTTGCAATGTGGCTAATGAAACTGAGAAACGTGGTTTTTAATTTCAATTAATTTAAATTTAAATAGTCGGATGTGGCTCATGCCTACTATAATAAATAGCGAAGTACAGTATCTAATTTTTCTGCTCCTTTCTTCACTTTCCTTTAGTATGTCTCTCTTCAGACTCACTAAGAATAGGCTGACAGTTGTTGGGGGTGAGGGGTTCAGTGAGGGTGGATAAAGGGATTGAGAAAAAAAGACAGAAAAAAACTTATAGCACTTGATGCGTCTCTCTTGCATCAATGTTTCTCTCTCTCTCTTCCTCCCTCTCTCCCTCCTGCTCTATCTGAAGATAAATGTAAATGTGTCCTCGGATGAGGATTAAAAAAAGCTAAACAAAACCTCATGGATATGGTCAACAATGTGGTGATTGCTGGGGGGAGGTGGGGGAGGAGGAGGAGGAAGGTATGAGGGGATGAATAGTGATGGATGGAGACTTGACTTGGGGTGGTGAACACACAATACTGTGTACAGATGATGTGTTGTGGAATTGTACAGTTGAAACCTATATAATTTGTTAACCAGTATAACCTAAATAAATTCAATACAAAGGGGAAAAAAAGAAACATAAAAAGAAAGAAAGAAGAAAGAAGGAAGGAAGGAAGGAAGGAAGGAAGGAAGGAAGGAAGGAAGGAAGGAAGGAAGGAAGGAAAGAAGGAGGGAGGGAGGGAGGGAGGGAGGGAAAGAGAGAGAGAGAGAGAAAGGAAGTCTCTCTCATGTCCCTGTCCCTCCCTCCAAATTCTACTTTACAAGTAATCCCCACACTTCTATTTTTTCTAACCAGTATCATCTGTTCTAAAGAGATAACCTAATAAAATAAATCTTTTTCAAGGTGTAATGAGACTTTGTGCTACTAGTTTTGTAAGTATTTGGAATTTAACAAAATTTGGCCTACTGCCAAAAAATTGTATGTGAATATTTCACATCAAGCTGAATAGAAGGGCAGTAAATAAAATTATTATTGACTATACAATAACAGACCTTCCATATTCACATTTTAAAACATTAAATGTTGCTCTGAGGACAAGCAATTAGACTTATTTAAGAAGCCATTAGACGTATTAAACTATAACTAAAATATAAAGCAATTCCAACTTGGCTGAATTGGTTTATTAGCTCTAGTAGTTTTCCCATGGATTCTTTAGGATTTTCTCTAAAGAAAATCATGTCATCTGTGAATAGAGACAATTTTACTTCTTTTCCAATTTGAACCTTTTTATTTCTTTTTCTTGTCTACTTGCTCTGGCCAAAACTTCCAGAACAATGATAAATAGCAGTGGTAAAATTGGGGATCCTTGTTCTGCTCCTGATTTTATGGGGGAAGCTTTTATTCTCTTACCACTGAGTATAATGCTTTTTGTTTGAGTATGGAATTTCTATTTATAAAAACCCTTCACCATGTTGAAGAAGTTCCCTTATATTCCTAGTTTTCTGAGAGTTTTTATAATAAAAGGGTGTTAGACTTTGTAGAAGTGAATTACTTCCAAGTCATTAACATCCTGTAAATAGCATCTAGTATTGAGCTTTGCATAGTCAACAGTTTTATAAGTATTTGCTGAGTTTGAAAACAGCAAACACCAAAAACCTGAAATCACACGTCAAGAGACATTCTTTGATAAATTATCCTGAGATTCACTTGGAAAGATTGGATCCCTATCCCCACCCCCCAACAAACCATGTAATTCACATAGGAGTTTTTTTTGTTTCTTTTTAATTACCTCGTACACTAAATAAATGTTAAAATATGTAAAAAGTTAATTCTGACACCTAATACCACTAGTAAATATAGTTGTCTAAGAACACTTCTGGATTTAACCAGGCTCAGTCAAATGAGGGCATAGAGAAATAAAGCTTCTGCCTCAGCCTTCTGTACAGAGTATTTGCAGCTCAGTCGCCTATGCCAAATATAAAAGGTTCCTCGAGAGCTTGATGTCAAATTTGAATATCTGAGAGTTTTTCTCTAATTAGATCATATGACATATATTTTTAAAGTCTATCAACATCAGAGTAACATTTTGCATAAGGGACTCTCTGTGGCTTCCACCAGAAGTCTATATTTTTCCTCCCGGGTACATCTGTGGCATTTCTTGCTAGGTATGATGGCCCCAGGTATGTTATTTTCCTTTCAGGCATCCTAATTGGATCTTGCTGATGAAAAAAAAAAAAAAAATCCACAAGGAACACGCAGTACAAAATAATATTTGTCACTGATGTGGTAGAAATAGAAAATTACACAAACAATTTGGGAATTATAGGTTCATCACCACTGGGGTGAAAAGTTATAGACCATTTCTCACCCTCAATTATCCATTGGTTCCCTGTCGTGTCTGAGCCAAATACTTGGTTTCTTTGC